CTGAACATCGACTCAGCCGAGGCGTGTTGGGAACAAGTTTAAAGGATCCTCTGGAGGCTGTTGAAGGTTCCCTAGGCGGTCGAACCACTTGCAATAGCTTTCAATACGTTTCAGCTGGTGGCTTCGTACCAATTATAGATCGTGAGAATCATTCGAGGGCTACAGTCGATTTAATTAAATAATATATCTACATAAATTGAGAAGTTGAGTACTAGGTTGATTCATACTTCTCAACAGTTTTGCAACACTGTACAGGCGTAGAGTAATATTTTTCAATTTCTCAATTTAACGAAACGGAGTCTTCGATCAGGCGCGGAAGAAAAGACCTCCGACGAATAACGTCGAACGAAACTGAGGATTCCGTAGCCTCCGCCGGGAGCGTAGTTCATTCAGAAAAGTATCATTCAAGCCCGGCACTTCCCCTTTCTGGAAGTCATGTCCCGCAGCCAGGAGTTTCGCAGTAGCAGGAAGTTCCTGGAAAGTTTCTCGCCGAACAATCCGGGCCCTCCGGCTCGGATTGTCCACTCTTGCACGATTCAAAGCTAACTCTAAACCCTTTCCTCGCGTTTCCGATCCATTGGAAGCGGTAACCGGTAGCCCCCAGCGCCGGGGGCACAGTCCCATTCATAAACTTATGGAAAGTACAATGGTTCGGCTAACTTGGCACGCCTATCCGGCGCGGTTATCTAGGCAAATCCTCCGAGTGAAATACTGGCGGGTTTCATTGAGCGAAGCCACCGAGCAATTTCATGGCGGCATTGAGTACTCTAAGGTGACACTTGGCTCGGTGAATTGGCAGGAAGCCCGTGCCGCTTAACTCCTCTTTCAATGAGATTATCACCGGCTACTCGGCCAACTACGTTCGCATTGTCGCCCGGAGTCGCCGCCGATGGAGCCCTTCCTCGCGATTGGCGAACGCTGCGGGCTCTCGCACCGAGTCTTTTTCGCAAGATCGATCCCCGTTCAGAACGTCTCGAGTGGATCCACGGATAGGCAGGTGTCGCGTACGGTTGTCGCGAGACCACTCCGACTCTGCAACGTTCGATTCTCTAGACACTTGCGCGAGATTTGATCTGGCGCTTTGCATTCAGCCCGTCGCTGGCCAGACTTCGTTCCCAAGAATAATTTATACGTCAAACGCGACGGCTCGTGGGCGACCAATAAAACGTTTTAGAGCCTTCGGATTTACGCCGACGAACGAGGCTCGTTCGATTAACGAAGAGAAAACCGGCAAAAAGACTGGAGCCTGTTGGTTTGTGAAATAATGGACATGATCACAATTGTATATCCACAACACTTTATGTGCAAAGAGAGACGTGTTTAACTGCCGACAACGTGCACAGCACTTTTATAAAGCCTACATGGTACCAATACAATGTTTATTGTATGAAAATAGATGTCACGATTAGTCCCATGCTCGAATTTTAAGTAATTGCAGTAATGATTCTTAAAGTGAAAATATAAATGTCTGCTGGTGTCGTTCATTTTACGAATGATTACTGCTCAGACGAAGCGTCGTTTGTCGTTGATCGATGTAATTAAAAGTGTTTTCCGACGAAGAGTTCTACGGTTTACGGAGGAAGAAAGCGTGCATCGTTCGAAGAGCGTGGTTACGTGTGACAATATACCGTGTATAGCCACAAAACTGGCTCGAAATCGATAAGCTCGTGGAGCAACGTGTTCGGCGCTCTTAAACGGAGAACGGCATTAGTACGCCTGCGCTCGACTCGAAGTGAGAAGAAAAAAGGACAAGGGCACGCACCACTAATTCACTTAGCTTGCCGCGTTTCTCGCGCCAGTCATTATTCTAGTTCGTACGACGATGATTATGCGGTCAGTTGATCTGGTGCTAAACGCGCTAAGCGAGAGAGCCCCGCGATAAATGGCCGCCGTTGGTTCGACTTTGTCGTCCATTAGAGCCCTGCACCGCATCTCCTATGTAAACAGGCCACGGCTCTTTCAAAAGTAGTGCTAACAATGAGCAAACGAACCACGCAGACGAAACAGGAAGTCCACGCTGCTCGATCGATCGTCTTTAGCAATCGCCGGATTCCTCGAGTCGAAATCGCGGCTTTAAATCTCATTTTCCGAATTAATTGACGCCTTAATTGATTCCATATTTATCAGTTCGCTCGGAATTCTCGAATTTAGTGTACGGGGCTCAAAACTCTGCAGCACCGTCGTCAGTCGAGTCGAAGCAAAGTAGAACAGTTTATCTTATTCAGTGTTCGGTTAATAACAACTTCATCTTAATGGATTTAATCTTCATTACTTTGCTTATCTTCGTGACTGGGATATGCAATTCCCCAGTTTACATATGGCGTTAATAAGATTATTTAAAGTCGTTTTTCGCGAAAGGATACTTCTCAAACTGGTTAACGGTTTGTAATGTCCACCAGATTGAGACGCTCGGTTAGGGCCAAGCTGTCGTAACTTGAAGGACAGGTAGGGGCAATTAAATCGCTCTTATCTCTTGCTCGAAACCAAATTCACTTGGATTATATTTATATTGGAGAAAAGAGTAAGAGACGGGGAGAGACAGAGACACGATCGATACGAGTAGAGAACTATGAAAGCAAACGAGAAACTCCGTTAGAATATAGTAATATTTGGTCGTCATAATTCCAATTGCAATTTCAAATAAAGGAGTTAACAACTAATATCAACAATAAAAATATAACTAAAATTCATTTTGAAGAATCGATTAGATTCGGATACCATCGACGACGTACTCTTTCTTCACAGCAGAGTGTTCTTCCTATCCGGACCCGAGGGAAGTCTCCCAAGTAAACAGTTTCTTCCACGCGACCGAAACGACGGACTGGTGTAGCAAACAAATAAAAAACAGAAAGCAATATACACGGTCATATAACATTTTCAACTCTGTTTTCTGCTATAAATTTACCCCTGTAAGCGTCGACACGCAATTAAGAATCACTCTGTACTCGAAGAAGATAGCACTCGGCTTCGTTCGAACTTTTCATTCCTTCAATCTTCTACACGAGAATTTGTAATAATTCTGGTCTCCTGTCGGTAAATAATTTATGATCGGAATAAAAACTCGATCGTTCGGAGGCGCGTTTCGTTTGGCATTCGGCCAGTCCAATTACGCGTTACCAATCATCGGCGTTCGGAGCGCCCGATCCGACCATCGGGCTAACACTTTTATTGCCAATATTATCATACGTATATATCTGAACCCGAACGGGTGTCTTATCGTAACGAATGCGCGTGTTGGTTGGGAATTAATCGATTTAACACGATTCCCCGAACTGACGGCGGATGTGTTAACGAGCCGTGTGTCGCAGATAACATCGGACACGGTTTCTCGTCGGCGCTCACGAATTATAATTGGTCCGTAATTAATGACACTGTCGATATTGACAGGTGGACCGAGCTCGGAGCGGCGCGGCGTTCCCGTGAGCAGCGCGAATTACGCGGCCCGGCTGCGCCCCTTGATCCCTTTTTCAGGCTCTGCTTATTTTCAGACTTAATTACCTCGGATGTTACAGCATAATCACCGATCGCGGCGCGGATCGATCCGGAGATATCCGAGTCCGACTCACCGGCGGCCGTTTACGAGCGTGCACGCACCTTTAAAAAAAGAATCGTGGCTACCTGCTTTTGCGGTTGACCGATCGAAAATTATTCGAGAAATTATCTGACGAGGGACGCGCCGCGATCGCCGGCCAAAACGAAAATGCTGTTAAAAGGAATCCCGAACTTTCCAGCGTTTATGGCTTCCGTTTACTGTCCAGTATCCGAGGATTTAATTGGACAATCTTTCGGTCGCGATCGTCGCTCGGCCCTACCGATTCGCTTATGTTCCGAGGCAGCGCGCGCTCGCTTTATCAAAACTAAGGAGCCTAATTATTTAGATCGAAGACCGCGGTTTAATTGGAATATTTCCGTTTTTGCTCTGTTTACTCATTAGCGATTACTATTAACATGGATAATCGGTCGTCGCGCGTGACGATCGACGATTAAATTAATCGTTAGCATCCTGCGAGCATCGGGGGATTAAAGTAATGGTTGTTCCTCGGCGGCGTCGTGTCGACATCGTCAATTTCTTTTGCGCGCGTTTGAGAAATTCTGTTACGTAAGAACGTATTGCTGATGACTCGTTTTGACATTCGAGATTGTAATAAAATTACAGAAAATTTTAGCGCACGATCAATGCCCATTCACGATCGTTTTATCGACGCGTTGTTTGGAAAATAAATAGATTCAGGAAGATTGACGTACACATTTGTCTTATTGTTCGTATCATAATACTTATTATTCACTAATGATACTTGTCCGTGGCGCTTTGTTCATAAAAATGCACGTGTATGAGTGTGGAGTTTGATTGTTTGTGTGTGAAATGCGTGGTTGGTCGATAGACCGATCGATACAAATGGTTCGAACGTATTCCGGACCTTAAATATTCACAAGTAAAAATTAATTACAAAGAGAAGGACGGGAATATCGATACGATCGTATATTTCTTTTTTTTTTTTTGTTTCGTTGGTATCAAACCGAAGAGAAAGACGTGAAATGAACGTATATGTACAACATTATGCGATACAATGCGTTCGGTTTCGATAACAGTTAAAAAACCTATTTTAATCGATATATAATATTTAACAAACACAGCCCGCAGTCATGAAACATAATTGTCAACGAATATCGTTTGATTTGAGTTCCGAACGTGTTTCATGCGATTCCCACAATATACTTAAAATACGTTAACATATTCTCTACTAATACGATTTTCGAAGAGCTTAAAATACTTTGCGATGTGAGCTAACTACGACTAAAAAAAAGGAAACGTAAAACGTACTTTCACGCTGCGATTATCTCTAGATGTAGCAGCTGCTATGTCTAAAATATTTCGACCCATTGCAGTAGAAATGGGGATTCGTTTGATTTTACACTCGCTTTGGTTACATTGAAAATCGTCCATGAATCGAGATCTACGTTTAAATTTATTTTTTAAAAGTCAAGATTTGTGAGGGTGATTTAAAAACTTGGGGTTTCCAGTAGCAGCGATTTGGGTACCTTTTCGAAGGTAAGCTCGAACGATAAGAGTTACTAAACTTTGATTTTTCCTTCGCGTCTTCCCCCCTTTTTTATAAAATATAAGATTGGGTTGAAGGATCAGCATTGAATCATAGATCAACCCTCTTGGGGAAAACATTGGAATTATTTACTATTTAAGAAATGGAATTGCATTGAAAAACCTACCCCTGTATTCTCATTCCACATATTTTGGGCTGGCCAAAAAGTAATTACATTTCTCCCAATAGCATGACCTGTACCGTCGTTGAGTAGATAAATGAAACGATTCCACCAAAGGAAAGCGTCCAGAATCGGGATAACATTAGACATTCATTTCGTTCTTTGAAAACGTGTTAATTCGCGAATCAGAAAAAAAGATTATTACTTTTTGGCGAACCCAATAACGCATCTTCGTAAAAGGAAATTTCTTTTCAATTTTGATTTTTACAAGTTACTTTGAACGAGTAAACGAAGGTAGTTGAAAATTCGAGGAAAAATTGGGGGGTGGTTACGGATAACCGGAACAACCCTTTAAGGAGAACTCGTGGGGTTCGTAGGAATTTTTCACGAACGATTACAACTGCAAAAGGCGAACGCTCTAATTCCCTTCGCTTGGAGGGAACGGACACACCGATTATCGCGCAACGATCAACGACAACGAAGGGACAACGTGTCCCGTTGATAGGGGCACGCGCTATCGGCTCACATCGCGGCGAAACTGTCGAATAATGACGCCCGTTAAATCGGGTACACCGAGAGAGACTTGCATGGAAAAGATTTATTCATCAAAAAAGCGCGATACACGTTTTACAATGCGCATCGACGAGGGACAACGATTATGACTATCGTATATGATGTATACTCGGCCTAAAATCGATTGATATCGGTAAATGACTTAATAAATTCCGTTAATATCACAACACAATTACATTTCCCCGTTCACTTGATCTCGTACGCACCGAGGTTACCCTTGCGCCTCCTGTAGACGGTCGGCCCGTTCGTGGGATTCCCCTGGACGATCGTGCGTTTCACGTTCGTCCGGTACTCGTCCTCGTACGCGTGCAGATACAAGTTCTTTAGAAATATTTGATTATCCAGCTCCGGCAGCGGCAGGAATCGCTTCGAGCGACTCTGTTGCTGCGCCTCCAGCTCGTTGAACGTGAACTGGCTGTTCTTCTCATCATCGTAGACCCTCGATCGCTTGGTGATCTTCTGCGTGCTTCTCGTCGACGATCCGACGTTGTTCCGCGGATCGTTCAGGGACAGCAGCCTTCTCTTCTGACGCGGAGGCTCGGTGTCCTCGGAGGCGTTTCGTATTCGCTTGCTGCGGTGCTTTGGTGCTCCTTCTTTGGCAAGTATCTCGTTGTCCAGCACCGAGGACTCGTTACCGGGCATCGTCGAGGATCGATTATCGCGCGATTCGATCTCCCTCGGCGTCGGCAGAGTCGTGGTAGCGGCGCTGGTCGTCGACGCGATCGGCGACGTCTCTGTAGCGGCGATAGTCGTCAGCGACGACGCGGCCGTCGATGCCTCGGTCGCGGTCGTCTCTTCCGTGCCGTTCAATTTAGCTTCAATGATATGTTTGAAGAAAACGTACATCTCGCCCACGGTGAACATGGTGCCGTTTCTCACGGTAAACTTGTCAATCTTCATCTTTTTGATCAGCTCTTCGGTCGCGTTACGCGCCTCCAGCATGGACAGCTTCTCCGTCACGTAACAATTGAGGAACTCGTAGAACCCTTTGTAGTAGTTCTTCCTGTGCTTCTTCTTCTCTTTGGACTTCTTGGACTTGTCAACGTGCAACGGGCCGTTCTTCTTCTTCGAGTCCTTGCGATTCTGCTTCTCCTTCCAGCGCATCGATTTATTGTAGAACCTCATGATACGTTCGAATTCGCGTTTCAATTTTACGAACTCCCTCTGGTTTCTTATCTCGAACTCTGATCGTCCCCTGCCGGAACCGTTCCTACGGGACTCCGACAGATCCACGTGGAAGAAGTTCTTGCTCATTGCATTCAAAAGATCGTGCATGCTGCCGTTCGTCAGGTTGTTCGACTGTCTCGCATCGATGCGCTGCAGCTTCCGGTAAACGATCTTCAGGAAATCGATCATCTTCTCCTCGCGGAGACGCGATCGGTTCCCATGGCCGGGGTGCTTCTTCCACGACAACGGATCCGCGGTCGCGTTGATGTCGTGACGACTCGCGTTCGAGCTCTTCGCCTCGATCTTGTGTTTCCCGTGCTCCTTGCCCTTGTTCATCTCCAGATGCAGCAGCTTCTTGTCGATCTTCCGGAAGAACTCGATGAATTTCCTGGGGAAAAAATATTTTCTGCATTTAAGTTTGCACCGCGGCTGCCAACGAATTTGCAACTCACCGATAACTCAGAGTCAGATCCTCGTCGTTGGTAGACCTCCTGCGTCTGCTCCAGCGTAGCCTAGGGTGCTGTCCAGGAATGCACTTGGGCAACGCCTTGGGGCTCCAGTTTCCGCCGATGCAAGTGGCCCCGGTAGGGCCTTCATCCAACACGTAACCCTTGTCGCAGTCGTACATGATCTGTTTGTTGTTCACGACCTTCTTAACGTAGGGCCTGTAGTCGTAAACCCCCATGTTGCCGACGAGAAAGACCTTTCCGTTCTCGATGAAGCCGGGGAACGGGCAGAAGACCTGGATGCATCGCGGTATGTCTCCGGTCCAGTTCCCGTACCGACACTCGACCGATTTCGAGGCGTTCATCGGGCCACCCCCGATTAGAGCGAAGCCATCTTTGCACTTGAAGACAGCCTTCATTCCGTGATCGGTTTTAGGCGCGATCACCATGCCGTTTTTCGGCACCTTCGGCATCTGCTTGCATCTGGCCGGCGAACAACTAGGCACTATCGACCAGGTACCGTTGTTGCACTTCACCGGGGTGCTGTTCGCCGCAAATTCGTAATTCTGCACGCAATTGACGAGCAACCGTTCGCCGTGCTCCACCACGGTCACGTTGTTGATGTGGTCTTTGTCGTCGCTGGCCACGGTTATGTTCCCGTATTCTATTTGCGGTACCACGCACGGCGCGAGACACTGCGGCAACGGGTAGCTCCATTTCCCATCAGCCTGGCAGATAGACGAACTGTTCCCCTCGAGTTTCATGTGAACGTTGCACCGGAAAATGATGCTGACCCCCAGCCCGGTGCCTGTCGGAAAACGTACAATTAATCCTCGAACGGCCCGACCGCGTCTACGACACATTGGATCGTTTTATAAAGCGCCTCGTTTATTTTTACAAGACGTAATTTATTTATAATACGACCGAGTACTTTTTTTACGCGTCTTCCGACTCACCCCCCTCGCTATTCTCAATCCAGCCGTTATACAGAACACCAGGTTCACGGCAATTAATTTCCTGGCAAGTGGGCATCTTTCCAGTCCATTTTCTGTCAGCGCCGCACCGTCTGGTACCCGCGCCGACCACCGTGTACCCATAATCGCACTCGTAATGCACGATGGAATTATACGCGTACGAGGTGTACACCGCCTTCCCTTTTACTGGATTATCCGGCTTAGGGCATTCCACTGTGGTGACCTGAAGAGGAAAACATTTCCCCGTCGAAATGTCTGCGGAACAGGGCGTAAACGCGACTCTGGCGAACGAGGAATATTTATGTTCGGCTTACTTGAACGCATTGCGGCGACTCTTTCGGGGTCCATGTGCCGTCCGCCAAACAGAGCTTCTCGGCTTTGCCAACTAATTCGTATCCGTCCGCGCAGTGGTACGACACGCGGCAGTCGTACGTGTAACACTCGCCTTAAAAAGAAATAAACTCGTCCCGTTAGATGCGATCTACAGTAATGGTTCATAAATCGAACGTCGCTTCGAGGTTGACGCGTTCATTTTTCGCACAGCGGAGACGAAATTCGACACCAGTAATTCGATATCGTTGAGCCCCTTTTTTTTGTCGTAGTCGATAACCGAAGAAAAGAACAGCGAATGAGAAAAAAGCATTGTCTTTTATACGAATCGACGACACTCAAGTTTGTATCGTTCTTTAAATGTCGTTTTACACGCTTTAAACGATGCCCTTCACTGGATTTTGGGGTATCCCCCAAGTTGGGATAGAAAAGTTCAATTTACGAATCATTACTGTATCTGTAGAAACTCTTCGTACAACACAGTGTGCCGGATCGAGAAATTTAGCGACGCTTTTGAATAAACATTTAGTCAAAGCGTTGCAGTCTTTGAGCTACTGTAACTTTGTGAAAAGGAGTTGTAAAACAATCTCTCTGAGGCGATTTTAAGAGTCGAGCCATGTACCTTCGCGTCGTTAAGTTGAATTTGCTCGATGACCCTTTTACACAGAAAAATGTTTCAAATTCAAACGGCTCCCAGACGTTTAAAACACTTTTTACTCAAATAAGATTACCATACATTTAAAGACCGAAACCTGCCTTTTATAACGAGCCCCTTAAAAGTTGATGTTTCTAACTTTTTTGCTGTTTTATTCCACTTTGAACGAGGAACTCTTTCAGCAGCAGTAAATAATGTACTCCGACAGGAGTGCACTTCACCTACTCGAGGGTTAATATTAAAATTTAGAAGTTAGCGGACGAACTTCGTTCCTTTTCGAAATTGTACATCGCGTGAAAGTAGAAAGTCACATAACAGCGTTGTTCTAGGATTATTAGTTTAGGAATTTTCTGGCGCGGCTACCACGAGTGTTGGAAACCATTTGAATTCCGGAAACTGTTTAATAAACATGCTTCGCGTCTGTTTATTCTCGTTGTGAGTAACCTGTATGCTTCCTGGTTCAACAATTTCAATTATTATATTAAATATTCTATACAATTGTGTCTGTACGAGAAAATAACGAAATAATATCTTTACTAAACTGTTAGCAAACTTTCTTGCATATTTCTTTTTTAAATCTAGTTTCTAAACAATTCTGTATTTTGTCTAAACACATGTTATTTTTTGTAAAAGTACACGAAACTAGTTTCTAAAACCAGTATACTCAATAGTTGACAAATTTCGTGGAAATCGGGGGTTCGTTCCATGAAAACAATACGTACCGGCGTGCCAACCGTTGGCGATGTCGACCGGGGACCCGCAACTTTGGGGCTTGCAGGTGATGTTGGGCCCAAACCAGGTAGCAGGAGCACCCTCCAACAACAAGCACTTGGCTTTTGTAACTCCGGTGGTGACGTAGCCGTGGTTGCAGAAGTACTGTACGGCAGTGTCCAGGTCGAAGGTCTTCTGCTCGGCAAGAGCGTTATGCTGCGCGTTTATCACTTTTGGCGGCTGCGAGCAAAATGACATGGGGTCCTTTTTGCAGGAAGGCGTCGCGCCGGTCCAGTTACCGTCAGCCCTGCACGTTCTCTCGCTGAGACCGACGATAAAGTAATCGGGATCGCAGGTGTAATGGGCCCGATCGCCGAAGAATCCCCCGGTGACTGTCATCACGCCGTGCGGTATCTCGGTGAGAGTCGGGCATTCCTTTTCTGGTTTGATACAAGACATTCCGCAAGCACCGTCGCATCTGCATTTTTTCTTCTTGCTTTTGCAATCCTCGTCGGTGGAGCACTTTCTCAAACACTCCTGGCCGAGGAGCTCCGCTTGTTTCTCGTCGCGCGGGCACATCGCCGACGGCGAGTTGCGCGGGTTCTTGTAGATACGTCCGTCGTCGTCCACCTCCGGTCTGGTCTGATAGGACGAGTCGTCGTCCTCGTCGTCGTCGTCGAAGTCATCGTCGTCGTCGTCGTCGTCGTCCTCCGCTGCCTGTTGCCGCAGCTTCGACTCGGAGGCGAGGAACAGGGCGCACAGGAAGAGCAACAGAAGAACAGCACTGGGTCTCATTATCGTAGTCTTTGATGAACGAGCACGTAAACCGACACGTACCGCGCGAATCGACGCCGCGTTTACATGACCGACGTCCGCATCGCGTCTGATCGGCTACCACGGTTTACAGCGGCGAATCGAGTCTCTCCGGCGTGTAACGATGGTCCATCGAGGTCTTCCGTTCCGGAAGCTACGCTCACAGCACCAGTATCATCTCGCGTCTCCGCCGAGGACGACGTCGTTTCTCTCGCGACCGTGACTATTAATCGAGTCTGCCTCTTCGGCGTCCAGGAGGATTAGGACGGTGTCTCTCTCTCCGTCTCGTTCGCCGCCTCTCTGTTCCCCTAACTCCGCGCGATTTTTTTCCTTATTGTGCGGACTGCGGCCCCGTGCTGCCGGGAATTCGCGGATACTCGCGCATCTCTGCACGCGCATTCGGCCTGTTCAATACATCTCCTCACTCGTGCAGCTTCCAGCAGATGGCGAGAGACAGGGGAAAAGTTCCGAGTTGCGCAGACATCGTTCGCCGCCAGACCCTCTCGCTCCGCCGCCGTACACGCGCCGTCGGGGGTGGTTACGATAGGGTTTATACAGTAACAATCGGACAACTCGATACAACGGCCCCGGCGTTGTTGAAAATTGTTCGAAACTCTGACGCGTTGGATGAATCTACTTTTCTCCAGTTTGCGTCCAAGTCTATTGTCAATCCACGAAGACGGAGGAAGTAGAATGTCATACCGAACTCGAAATCTATTCTCTTCTTACGAAACTACGGTAAATCTCGCGAGGAGACGCCGGTGAAAAGTGTCTCGCCTCGGGGGATGACGTTTACAAAATTTAATAACGCCTTCTGTTCTTTTCTGTATCTTCTTTTCCGTGGCTGTAACAAACTTTGTAGACAAACTTGATTTGCTAAAGAGTTAAACTCCCACGTCATCCACATATGGAACTAAATCAATTAATTCTCGAGTCGAAATGTTAATGGAAATGAATTTGTACTGTAACAAGTTTTAAGTTATATAGTTTACAATTGTCTTAAGTCAATGATCTGGTCTCATAACAAATTTTAACCAAATAGTGGTCGATCGATCAATTTAGCCTGGCCACTGCCGATGTTTCTCCCGTGGGAAACAAATTTTTTGTACTTCTCCCTAATCCAAACTATAGGAACGGAGATTTCTCCGCAATTTGAAACCGCTCACGCCGTTCTGTCAATATTTGAAACGGATAGGAGAATCTCGTGTACCTGGCCACCTCGATTACATACATTTTCCTACAGCTCTCGAGTAAACGTTACCCTTTCGCAGCACCGAAAACCAGCACCGGCGTTTACCCGGGAACTGTACCATTCCCGGCTGCACTCCCGTTAACGCGTCAAGTCACGAAAGGAAACACCTGCAGGCACTTTCTAACCCGTTAACACGTTATTCGCCGTCCAAGACCAATTGGACAACGGTCTACGGTTCCATCCTACTGCTCTATTTTCGCGATGCCCTGACCAACGATCGTTGCGACTGCGCTTGTTGGTCGGGCCGAACCCAGTTGTTCGTCGATCCTCGCGTGACGGCAGAAAGGCAGGATCCGCGTCGGCCCACCAGCCAAGAAGATGGCTAGTTTTCTGTTTACTCGGTCCTCGTGGCGTCAGATTTGCATGATAAAGCCAGCAATTCGCGCGGCTCTACGTGCGCGACGAGCCGGCTGAAAAATGCCGGCGATATCGAGAGGCGTGGGTAGCAGCCAGAGGATCAATTTTCAGCGGACAAAACTCGATCTACGGGGCTTGTTAACCGAGGCACCGGATAATCCCCGATTCCTAAGTTAGCTGCGTCGTTAGAATAAGCCCGTGTCGGCCATTGTCTTCGTAACGATCGTAATCAATCGGTACGGTTCGATGCTTCGTGAACGCCGTTGGTGATCCTCGCCCCAATCTCGGGTATCAGCTTCATCGTTCTCGCCGTGTGTCTCCCGGATGTCTTCGTTTGTCTTATTCAAATGAGACGCCTTGGGACGGCCTTCGAGCGTCTGTCTGAAACTGGCAACTTTCCGGACCCACCGTCTCGTAGAAAATTAACAGCCAGGAAATTTCCTCGCGCCCCTTTCCTGCTTCCTTGGGGCACAATTGCGCCACAGATCTCCGGCGCAGAAAAGGGATGTATTCCAGGGGATTAATCCACTCGACGTTGTTACCTTTGGGGAGGACCGGGGCAAGTGGATACGGATAAATTTTCACAGACACTAGGTATTTACGTGGCTCGATCGGGACGAGACGTTATTCCATTTCAAATCTTGTTTTCATCGAGCATATGAAATATTTGTTGAGACCTAGCAGGCGTAACTCGTTCGATTAGAATACTAAGCTGTGGAAATGTAAAACCGTGAGTTATTAATAAATGAATCATTGAACAGCCTCGCCCAGGTTTCGGTCACCGACGGCACAATAAAACAGCCGCGAAGGAAATGAATTCTTGGAAATATATTCAACGAATTCATAGAACTAATTTCCAAGGCTGATCGCGTTTGCAATATCGTGGGATACAAACGATGCAACTTTTCCTCTCGGTGACAACGTGAATGGTCTCCGAGGGTTATTCATTGTCGGGAGTGTATCTTCGTTTAGACGCGAACGTCAGGTGAGATTGACAGAGTGGCAGTAACTCGGTAGCTGAAAATGGGAGTGGCTGAAAGAGGAGAGGACAGCTCGCTCAGCGACATCCCCGTGGCGCCTCTTTGCAGATCCTCGAGCCAAGAAGTAAGGACACGAGACGTCAGTGGTGCTCAACGCGACTTCCTCTAATCCGAATTTAATTGGAACCGATCCACGAAACCTCGTAACAATTTCGATTAAAACTCGAAACTAATTTTCCGGCCGCGTCGGTGAAATTAGTATCCGTCGAGCCGAAACGGCGGCGCTCGGTAACGGAGCCGAGTTCCGAAGCGTGGGCAATAATATTTGCACCGACGTCGAAGAATTTGTTTCGATTAAGATAGCGTTCTTCATCGTGCGGAGCGTCCCCGTGGAATGTTCATAGCGTGAGTAAGCAAAATGCTCGTTCTTATGAAACGAACGAAACGCATTCCGTAGTATGAGATTCTCTGCGGAACCAGTTTTGTTATATTTGTTTCAGCAAATGAAGAACGTTCTTTTTGTCTCGCAGTGGGCGGTACGCCCGTCTCGGGCCGAAAGAACGATGAGCCCACGGTGTCAGCTTACAACTACGTGCCTACGTTATGTCATGCTATCTTTTTTAATTTATCTCTTCCTGATAAAGACAGGAACAAAAAAACCTGATAATAAATACTGCGCGACCTTCGGGCTTTTCTTCCTATCCGCTTCGTAGTAGTCGTGTGGCTCTATCGATCATGGCGCGCAGGCAGATCGGAACGATACGTCGCATAGCGGAGCATTTGCATGTCAAACCCGATAAAAAAAACTGACGCGTTACGTTATTTTTTCGCTTTCTCTACGTACAATCACGCTTGCTCTTTTTACATACTTTATCAAAACAACGGATTATCTCTTCGGTAGCAGACAATTTCCTTTTCATCGTAAAAACTTTCAGAAACTGATATTAACAAGGAGTTAAGTACTGTGCGTCCGCGGGAAGTTGGATAGCGAAAAGAATGCGGGTCTGATTGGTGCCTAGAGTCCCCACTCTGGTTTAGTTAGGCGGAGCAAGCAAAGTATCGTTCCACTGGTCAACTTCTTGCGGTCGCGCAGTAGAAGGAGCACGCGCGTTATCGTTGTTGTTTAAAAATCGCTCGAGATTGTCCGAGATCCCCTTGAATTTCCCAACCCTCTCGATCGTTGAGTGGGCTCGAGTACAGCAATGTGTCGTCACCTACTCGGAAGATCTTTCCACTCCACCGGCAATCAGCGTGCAACTCTCCTTTGTCCGTTGGCTGGCTGACGGATGCACGAGGATCGCGGCTGCCTTTCACGGTTGCATACGCGTACGTGCCTCGAGCTCTTTCGCGACTGCATCCAATTCAGAGGCAATTGAATTCACAATTCCGGCCATTACGAGTGTCAGGAAAGGATTACGGCGGCGGCGCAACGGCTGGCGTGCGTGCCGCATCTGCATCCATGCGAAGAAACGCCGGACGTATGCATAGATGCATGCACGGTGCATCTCCAGTGACTAAGGTCCGCTGCAACCAGTGCATCGCGAGTAACGGGACGGCTAGCCGCGACTAGTTCGCGCTTGGGAATAGTCGAACGTGATCGTGGACGGTGATTCACGCGTTGCACGCTTAACGGCCGAGCACTTTGGCGACAGGAATGCTCCTAGGTAATAACCTCGTCGTTATCGCGTTAATTATGACAGTAGCGAGAGGCCAGACGCGCGGGTGAATTCTTTAGTCCCAGCGCGCAGTGGGTTGGACAAGAATTCTAAGCAAAGTAGAAGAAGATCAATATCCTTAAATTTTGGTTCCATGGAGATCTCGAGTAACTAATTACTCAGATATAAAAGAATGCCTTTTCAGTCGAGACTTACTTTAGTACACAGTCTGTAATGTACCAGTTTACTCGTTAGTGAAAGGTATGTTGTAATTAAATCGTATGTCGAGGGGTTAAAAGGAAAAAATGAACATTTGCATACTGTATGGCGCAAGAATAATTAGTTTAAACGTTGTTCCATAACGAAAGCATCGCGTTGTTTTTCGTGGGTAATATTTTTCGTCTGTCAGAGTCTCAGTATTCGTGATTCGTTACTCGTTATTCATTAGCGTCGCTAGTCTTCGCGGGGTTCGGTGTACCACGAAACAGCAAGGGCGGAGCCCCTAGTATGAAAAATTACTGAAGGTGCAGTACTTTGAAGGGAGGCGGCTCATGAATGGAAAAGCAGATATAAATGCATGCTTTTAAGACATTAAAGGGGATGCAAGGTGCAGGATCGAAAATATCCAAAATTTGTCTTTTTTTTTCTTGAACAGTTTAACCACTTCAAAATATATTTTTAAGTGTTATTCTGTAACCTGAAAAATAACAAAATATTTTTAAGCATTGTTTGCACCATAAATCGATGCCTTCAAATCTGCTATTTTGTATAAATAATCTTAAGAAAAAAATTTCAAATCAGTCACGGAAAAATTATTTTCGGATGCGGGGATCAATTACAATCATTTTTTATGAATAAACATACCTCTGAATTCCTACGCACTTTCGAGAAAAAAATTCTT